GAAGACTAAGGAAACATGGTGGCTAAACACTGGTCAGTAATTTTCCGTTAAGCCAAAGTTTGGTCTCTGATCACTTTTTCATCCAGATAATACTGTAGAAAAGCTTTGTGTCATCTCTTTGAGGTTAAACTGGCTGCAGAGTCTCCTACAAGTAATCTAGTGGAAACTGGACAGAGGAACAGATGGACTTAGACGAAAGACTAAGGAGATGCTTTGAGAGTGACAGGAAAGCTCTGGAAATAGTAAACAATTAGCAAACAATCAAATTATTTAACAAATTGGCACCTCCTCAAGCGCTGCTCCCAGTATAGTACATGAAATAATTCAGAGGATTGAAGCGCCCTTTTCTTTTTTGGAGCTCCACCTTTGTTGTTTCCAGTGGGAGCTGCACTGTGGGGACTCCTGGGACAACTGAAGTGAACATAAGGCATATTGGGCAGCAGTTTTTCCATTTACCTTCACTGGTATCAGCTATTAGCATCTCATTTGTGAAAAATATATTTTAAAACCCCCAGACTCTGCCAGGCTACATCAAAAGGAACAGAAAGCAATAAGAGATGAGAAGGTAATAATTGGTAAAATGCTGGTAAAAGTCCTAAAATTGACACTGTTCATGAAATGCTGAAAAATCCCCTTTGTTTTCTTGGCTTTCATTCCCTCTCTATCTCTTTGAGAACAAGGGAAGTCACCAGTATCAGAACCCCATAAATCACAGTAACTACCCTTTATACACTCCTTATCTGCCCACACAGTTTTATTTCTACTATTTTATTGTAACTGTGATAGGAAAGAAAACTTAATACACTTGGGCAGTCATGGTTTTCACTTGAATTTGTCAATTTTTTACTATTGCTACTACCATGGCCTGGCTTTCAAGACTTTTATATTAGTGGACACCAGTTTTTGTGCTCTCCTCCTCACTTTCTCTTGGTCTAACTAATAATGTTGAGTGGGAACCAGACAAAGTGGTGTCTCCTGAAGGCTTGCTTCCTGCAGAAGATACGTTTCGGGCAGTATAGATAACCAAGTGCCCTCTGTCATCCCACCTCATGCCCATCATGATAGAAATTCAAGTGAAATGGTTGTGAAGGGCACAGAGACAAAAAGTGCATGCTGCACTATTGGTTAGAGTGGTAAACTAGCTCAAGATATTTAAAACATATCTACATCTACACAAGGAGATAAGAACAGGCTCTAGCCTCTCACGCCCCATGTCCCAGAGCTGAGTGCCAGGTGCCACCAGGAGGAAATGAAATCATGCTGCTTATAATAAAACATGTTTCTTCCGTACCATCTCTGCTGCTGAACCCAGCTAAGAGGGTCTACAGATACATTAAGGCATAAAGAAGCTGTGTGGCAATGAGATGGGACTTGACAATCAGATTGGAGAATACGTGAATGGATGCTGTGTCCTCGCTCTCTGATATTCCATGGCCAAGCATGAGAGCCCACACAGGGCTCATAGGAGCTACCTGTGAAGCACTGGCCCTTGCTGTGGCCTCTATAAAACTTTCACATCACACAAAGCCAGAAGCAAGGGTGAAACTACCACATAAAAGGTGAAGGGGCAACAGAAGAACCTGCAGAAACAAGACAACAGATATCTCCACCAGAACAGGAAAGCAAAAAAAAAAATCTAGTAAGATTGGTTAAAGCTTTTATGGAAGAGATTCTAATTAATGAGACATTACTGATCTGAGATCCAACTTACTACCACCTACAAACATATTTATATTGGTGCCTATGGAGCTGGTCAATTGCTTAGTTTCTCATTCGCAGAGCTACCCCTTCAGTCATTAGCTGTACCTTCCTTTACCTCCATCAGTCCTGAGTATTAAAATTACTAACGTTGTAGAATACAGAGAATGAAAAGTACAGATCTGATGTGTAAGACAATAATAATAGATTAGGCAGCAGGAGTTTTATTTATGTTTCTGGAGGTTTTAACATATAACATAATATGCTGTTCACAGATCACCCTTCTACTGTGGGTCAGTCTCATTTTAAGAATGTGATATACTGTAACTCTTCCTATAAAAGCTGCTCCAGTAATGATGTAATTAATGCAGTTCCTAGTTCAGGTACAACATCCAAAAACAGCTCATACCAATTTTTTCAGGAAATGTAAATAAAGGTTCAAACATGTTTCCTGCTTTATTTTTGTTTGAATGTCCTTGAACCTTCTTCATTTCTCCTTCGTTTCTTGCATGGCCACCTGGGCTCACATCTTTCACTTCCGTCATTTCAGATCCCGATAAATCCAACAGAAAATGAGACAGAGGGACAGAGAAAATTATATAAACAGCAAACACAATGTAAAAAAAGTAAATTAAAATTATCAAAGACTTACCATTTTATGTAAGCAGAATGACCATCAAAGGACTTAACTCTGTGCAGTAAACTATATGGGAGTAAGGATGCAGTATAGACTCTCCTCATGCATATGATGCTTTGTATTGTCTCACATCTTTTCTTTCTGGATCACAGGGAGAATGTTGGTGTCTTGGTATTAGGGAAGAATTTCCTCTCTTGCTCTTCCTGGCTTTCCTCTGTGTTATTTAACAGACCCTTCTTTCTTCTTTCAAAATTATATGGATTTGTCGATATCCTCATGAATTATGTATCACTGAAAGTATTTTCCCATGGCATTGCATATTTAAAATCTATTGTGAAACTTTAGGAAGGAAAAAAAATGCAGGAACTATTGGGGTGGAAACACATTTATTGTTTTGCAGCATAAATACCACCAACCTAATCTTTGTATATGCCAGTTACATGAGTGATATCTGTGATTGTTTGAAATTCCTTCCACACACTTCAGTATTTCTGTATATACTGAAGGTGAGAGCCACACATGTGAGTCTGTCAAGCTCAGAAGATGCACAGGTGGAAAATGGATAAACGCAGCAAACTACTGGAAACCAGAAGCAGTAATCTTCAAATGTGCTTATTAAAACAGAGAGTTCAGTAGGGATAGAAATAACCAAACCTATAAAACCTTAATTTGCTCTCTAAATAGGCATCAACATAAAAGTATTATAGGATTTTTTTTTTAAACATTTTAATCATAAATCCTTTAAGTCTTCATATACTTATATGAAGATTTTCTGTAATTTCATCACATATTAAAAACTTGCTCCCGTCCATTTTCTTTTTCCAATCATGTATTTACTAGTTTATTATATTGCTAAAATAGCAGAGTACACTTTCTAGTAATGTTGGGGGACTTTGAATCTATTAACAAGGCACTTAACCTCCTTTTTTAAAATCATTTTTTAAGGAAGGGAAATCTAGAATGTGAGGCAAGAGTGTACCCTCATCCCATACTTGACAGAAAAACAAAAATGAGAGACCTCAGATCTTTTGGTCCCAAGTTTTGTACCTTGCCTCTAGATAACATTTCACTGTTGAGTCAAAGACATGCAAATTTTGATTGGAAGAAACCTCAAAACAAGGGGTTTGCTCATCAAAGCATCTGCTTAGCCAGCAGCTGCAGCCAGGTTTGCTAACACAGCTGTATTTGTTAATACCAGGGGAAGGACACTGCTTGGGTGATTTCTATAACTATATTCAGCACTAAGGCTCTTCCTAATATTCTGGCCAGAGACCTGAAAGCTGACTGCATACATAAACCTCTGCACCACTCTGGGGCTTCACAGCCTCCAAAGGTAACCTCTGATGTCACTTTTTACACTCTCTGTTGCCATAGCAATGGAGGTTGGGGTTTTCATCAGGTGATGCTCAGTGGGTCAGTACCTGTTCTGTGGCTACGTGTCTCTACTGGAGCCTCTGAGAGCTTTTTCATTGACTTAACTGGCATCAACATTCCACTCCAAATAAAGATCTAGCCCAATGACACCAGGTTCAGGTTTTTAATGAAATCCTAAAGCATAAGGTTCCTTCCTGTGGCCTCAACTTTTAGTTTAAAGCACTTTAGGTAATCTACTTCTGTTGTCAGAAAGTATCATTCTTAACCCTGAGGTAAGGATTTTACTTCAACTTAGGTGCCTGATATCATCTTTTTATTTTCAAATATCAAGCATATTTTCATTGCATCTCTTGCACAGGCTATGTACATATGATGCTATGCAATGAGGAGAAACAAAATGTGTGATTTTTAAACTACTCTTTTGCTTTTCTATTTTTTAATCTCCAGATGGTCTCTTAGACTGGTGATGTTTTCTGTAGGCTACATGTTTCCTGCTTCAATTAGCTTACTTAACCAGAACACATTTGAGAGACACACACACGATCAGATAGTATCAGGTGCTAATGTTTAATTGCTTTCATGAGATTAGAAGAAGATAAATGATTGAATCATAATTGAACGAGCTTATTAGAAGACAAGCTGATCAGTGTTAGAAAGAAACTCGAGATTCCCATGTTTGCTCTAATTTCACATTGGCTGGGGTTGCTGTAAGGACAGTGAGCACAATGTGATTGCTGTGTTAGGGAGCAAGATCAGAGCTGGGTGACTGAGATCTGCCATACATATTTACCAGCTGAAATATTTATCAGAGGGGATGGTACAATTTGTATCTCTACCTAAGTGCAGTGAAGGAAACTAATGCTTTGATTTACCACCTCCCAAGAAAAAAAAAAGCAGCAAAGAGATCTTTATATGTGTTATTTTGAAAAAAGCCCTATCTCTCTATCCTGTCCCTCCACAGCATGTGTGCCTGTGAGGAAGGACAGGCAATCACTAAGGGCATCTCTCCCTTCAGGGGCTTTGTTGGGAAGCATCAGGTAGTTACTGCTGAGAGCAGTGGGGATCTGACACATATTTGTATGGATGGGCTGGCTGGAGCAAGTCTGGGTCAGGTACCAGATTCAAAGATTTTTATTGCTTGGTGAAAGATCTGAGCAAGTTTGAGCGAAATTCTCAGAATGTGCACCCTCCATGAATGTTTCGTTAACTGACGATGGGGATTCTTTGTTTTGGCATGGCCACAGTGATTTTACTCGGGTATCAAGATGCAGAGGAGTCATGCAGTACTTACAGGATCCCTTTTTACAAGGCCCGGGTTAGGGACAACAGCAATGAGGTGGGCAATTGTAAACATGGAGTTCAGCACATATGAAAAAAACAAATTCTTATGCAGTGTTATCCTTTGACAGCTGAGGCTCCTGAAAAATATGTAGCACATGTCGTAAATTAGTATTTTTCTTCTGATGTCACTTTAACAAGCTCTTTCTGGCAACAGTCTCTCAAGAATGCCTTTTGGCAGGGCATAATTGGAAAATACATGCCTTGCATTGCAACCATAACCTCCGACAAATTTTTGGGTTTGTTTTTACACCTGTTTAGCACCACATGCTTTTCAGACCATGTTGTAAAGAGCTATCCAAATACATTCTCAGCCCTTGATGCCTTTCTTTATTTATGGTAATCAAGTTATTAGGCAGTGAAGCGGAACCCTGAGAATTATTAGATGCGCATGATACCACTAATGAACATCAGAAATACTGCTTTATAAGTAACTGTTCCCTGGAGACTCAATTTCTCAAAGACTCAGATGAAAATTATTTTCTACTTCAGGAATTAGTAGTGAGACAGGATGGGAAATTTGGGCAGGAATCTCCTTAAATTACAGAGGGATTTGGGTTGATATCCTGCATGTTTCTAACTCCAGCTGAGATCTCAAACCAAAGGAGGTTGTTTTCCTGCTCAGAAGGAGCAGAAATCTTTTGAAATGACTGATTATGGTGAGGATAGGATTTATGCTGTTGTGGGTAGCAGGATTTCACAAGAGAAGTTTGCAGAATTCTTGTGAAACCATATCATGACTGCAGTTTTAGTCCTGAACTATCTCCCTTTCTAATTCATGCCCAAATCCTCATGTCCCCTCCTCAGATACCCCTGAAGCACAGAAGGTGGCCCCTGCAGTGCTCCATGCCCCAGAGCGCAGTGCCAGGCTGACAGATGGTGATTGCAGAGGCAATCACAGCGCTGTTAGATAATGCTGTGATGTCTGTATTCAGTGATCACTGAGAGCAAGCAGGCAGAACTAGTAGGTGAAAAACAGAAGTACTGCTGTCTTGCTAAGGTAAGCTTCCCACTCAGAACTAGGAGTCTTTCGCAGTCTTTTGCACTCTGGCATGGAACACAGGCTGTAACTTTCTGATGCTCTGCACGTGGAGGTCAATGCAGAACGCACTTTCTTTTAAAACAGAGGGTTAATCTAATCAACTGAACCCTTTTCTGCTTATTTTGCTTGTTTACTTAGTTATTTTCCTTTTTTAGCTCCTTGTTTACCTACCACTTATTCTTCATTCTCCTTACACCTATTTTCTGAGTCATTACATGGAAATCTTCCTTTAGCTTTAGGTTGTCTTTATGGTTATGGTTATGATCATCCTGCAATGTTCACCGTGTTTCTTGACCTCCTTATTTACCAAGACACATTTTTTTTTGGTTCAGGATGTCCATGAGAGGCAGGTCCTGGTGGATAGGAATGAGAGTATCTCTTTGCACTTGCCCTGATTTTATGGTATTTTGTTAGCATCAGCTAATGGCAAATGTTGAGCACCAGATATGGGGCCAGGTGCACTTTCAGTTTGGTTCACTGTAGAACAGGATACTGTGCAAAACAATATTCTTTGGAGCTATTTTTTGCTATACTATGCTCTTGTGCTTACTCCACCTATATTTGCCTTATCACAAATAAAGTCTGACGTTCTTTTTCTGCTCCAAGGTTCTGGTGAAATTTATTCAGTCCTGAGTCTTGCTCCCCATTCTCCATCGCTACACTTTGCCTATGCAACTAATCTTGGGACACTATGACATGGTCATCACTGCCTGCTTTTCTTTGACAGCCTTGAGAATAGGATTGTTGTGACATCAATCCCTTTCCCAAGAAATAAAAATTTCCCTGTTACTGGTAGCAGTCTCTCCAGCTCCTGGCCACAGACATGCAGACCCTTGTCTCCCCAGCTACCTTTCTACATGGCTACAGATGCAGAAAGTCTTTTGTGATAATCTCAGCCAGGTCCATGTGTCTCCACTTTCATTTCTGTCCTTCCTCTTTGCTGTACTTGACTTCTGGCAGTCTTATTTCTCTATTAAATCGGACTGTCCATCTCTGCATGTTACCATGGTCTGCTCTCCAACCTCCTTTCCCTGCCTGCCTTCCTCTCTTAATTTTGCCCTTTCCTCCTTTCCTTTCAGTATTCCCCATTATTTTTCCTTGATGCCAGCTTTCATGTTAAAAACACATCTGCATTATTAAATGTATGTTTCCATACCCTCATTTTCTAATTTGACCTTCAGTGTTTGCCATCATAATGGCATCAGCACCTGCCTGCCTCAGTCGCCACCAACAGGAGAACAATTTAGCAGAACCAAAACCATTACTTCATTCATCCTTTCTGCTGATTTTGACAATCATCTGCAGTCTCCTCCTTCTGACCACTCCTAATTCTCTTCCTGGCTCTCTTGCTGTTCCTAATCATTCCTTTGTGGTGTTTTTGAAGGCTCCTTGGTACAGCCTCCACCGTCTTTCTGTATGCTCCCATCTCTGTTTCATTAATCAGTAAGAAGGCACAACTTTCACATTAAGCAAGAAGGCACAACTAAGCCAGTTATCTATGTCTAAAACTCATGAGTTTTTTGTGTCTCTATGCTTCTACCTATTGTCTCTTTAGAATTTCCTAGTCTCCTATGTTTTTCATGGCTTCCCTTTGTTTCACATTGATTCTGTCTCCTATATGTCCTTTGACAGAGATAGGTTCTCTTACCTACTTCCAGTCACCCTTACTTTTCAGTTCCTATCTCCACTTCTCTATTGCAACTAAGATATTTTGAATTTTCTTCATAGAACTGTCATCTGAATCTTTAATTTCTTCTCATTCATGAATACTGAGAGTACCAATTTTCACCCCAGTCACTTATTTTCCATATTCTACCCCCTTGTTTGGTTTTCAAATTATTTTCATGCTTTGTACCATATTCTCCCTTACCCTTGGTGAAAACTCCCAGCAAATTTCCACAGATTATCCTTCAACCCATTATCCTTCTTCAGCTTCTTTCAAAAGCCTTGGCAACAATTAACTGCAGGTGTATTCACCGTTTATTATTCTGGCAAATCTAGACTTATTGTACTCCCCCTCTGTCTTTGTACGAATGTCTTTTTTTTTTAATAATTCAATTGGAAGTGATTTGGAGCTAGGAGTCCCTCTTTTGTGTTTTATCAAATAACATAATGGGGTCTCAGTTTGCAATTACAGAAACATTGCAATAACGTGATGATTCATGTAGCTATTAGACACTCTGTCTCCTCTTATGAGTTTGTATTGCTTAGTGATGTTCATCACTACTGCTTCAGTATTGCCTTCTGAAAGTACTGCAACATCTGTGATGACAGACCACTATCAATCTCGATGCCCCAAACTGAAATGAAAATAAATCTCTGCCAGAGAAACAGCAATCCCAGCAAGCTGCTGCCTTTACAGTCAAAGCTTATTATACAGTCCTGAAATCATCTCTTGCTATCTGATTGACTGATTGACAGTTTCCCTTCTATTGAAGGTCAAATAATCTACTGCTGTCATAGCTAGATGATAGAAAACAGCTGAAGGTAACATGAGCCCTGCTCCCATACAGCTTCATTCTGACTTTCTTATGACTGTAGTTTGGCCTCCTCTTCGTCTCTCATTTTGAATCACTTTGTTTTAATTCCTTTCTCTACTTCTTCCTGTAACCTTTGTGCCATGGATTAGTCATGGAAAGGTAGGGAGAAGTGGAGGAGGGGAGAGGAGGAGGTGTGTTACTGTCTGGAAGGCTGCTGCAAAGACTAGTCTTTCTGTGCAGCCTGGGACTCATCAGGATCTTGCATTGTCCGTGACTCAGAGATAAGAGTGAGTCAGACAGGCTGATCCTGCCTCATTTGCCCCAAGGAATCACCTTTCTGGTCCATTTAGGGCACCTTATTTGACCAGATCCTGTCTTTACTGTCCCAAAGTACTCACGTGAGGTTATAGGGTTCCAAATTCGATTAAACTGTGCTCTTTGCAGTTTCCTCAAAGCTATGGTTTTGTGCTCTTTATCTACTTAGATGGGAAGGAAATTCATCAGTTCATTGGGCAGAGTTTCTTACTACCTCTGTAGCTGATTAAGGCATCTTATCACAGGTATTCATAAAATCACCTCTCTGGAAATTACCAGAAATTATAACCTGTATTTTGGATCCACCTGTTTTGAGTTTGGAATTTTACAGACTCTTATAGTCTATGAAAAGCCCAACAATTTAATTTTCCTATGTTTTCTAGACTTATTCTTGGTGGTGGTGTTGTTGGGAGCTTGATCTTTTACAACACTTCCTGTCTGACAGCTCAGGCACAGACATCTAATTGACAGCAGACAGGTTAACCAAAGAACAAGATTTAAATGCTCTAGTTAAGCTGCCATACAGTAGCTGCAATGCTTCGAGTGAGTATCAGTTTAGTCTCTTTTCAAGTTCTGATATAGCACATCGCTGTTTTTCCTTTTAATGATGATGACAGTCTGCACAGCACTGTCAGACTCACTCTTAGGGCTGAGTCCTGTAAGAACTCACTCAGGTCAATAGCTTAGTCCTTCAGTGTCATATGCAGGTATCCCTATTCTTCAGGAGCTTGGAGCTCCAAGCCACTGTCCTGTGCAGTCACTGTACCTAAAAAAGTCTGGACATGATCTTCAAGGTAAATGAAAGGCCTCACTGCATCCCCCCATTTCCCTATGGGCTGCACTTTTACACCAGTCTTCACAAACGTAACAGCATGATCTTGGCTAAAAAAAACTGGGAGATGTCCCATTGGAGAGAAGAAGACCCTTCTTTACCAGGATTATATAAAAAGGCTCTCAGAAGAGCTGCTTCTCATTGCCATGCCCTCTTCCAAGCATTTCTTTGTTTACCACTTGATAATCCTCAGGAAAGAAGAGAGAGCGTCTGCAAGAAACACTTACTTGAAATAGAAGAAAATTGCCAAGGAAATCAAAAGGGATGTTATAGACAAAGCATGGCCAACGATCGCCATATAATAAAGTATGAACGCCATCTGCAATTTAACAAAAACAAAAAGGCAAACATCAACAATTTGCAGGCACTTGGTGTTTTTTTCTCATCGAGGAAGAATCTAAAAAATCGATCTTCCATTCTCATTTTTCTTTCAAGCATTGTTTTTCTATATATTGTTAATGTCATCAATCTGTTTAATAGAACAACTCACAGTCTAATGATAAGTACTTCTTATATTGCTGATCTGTTCCTGTTACATTGCGGGAACTCTGCTCACACTGTGTATCACTAACTTTCCAAGCTCTAGGAGACCACAGCAGACATAATACATTCAGATTTCCACTGCGCTCAGGACAAGTATTGCAAAAAAAACTATTAAAGAAAATATCTTGCTGCAGGATTGGTAGAAAGCTTTTATGGGTTGAAAGCAACTTAAACAACAGGGATCAAAAGCTTAATGGTCACTTTTTAGAGTGAGTCAGTAGTTAATTGTCCTCAGGACTCCTGTTAGGGCTGGGTTTTTGTTCAAGATATTCATCAGTGACCTGATGCGGAGAAACCTCTAAGTTTCCAGGTATTACTTAGGTCTTCCAGCTAACAGTGAGTTACTCAAGGCCTTAGCTCCTCTGCTGAGTTTATCTTTTTTCAGCTCTACTTTATTTGCTTTTCTTTTGCTATGCATGAGCATTTTCCCTCTTTTCAGTGATTAGAGGAATTGCTTTCAGCAATTCAGCCCTAAGTTTTGTTATTCACTTTTTTTTAGTGTTTCCAAGTAATTTTAAACCTTCCCTTGAGAAAAAAATATGAACACAATTCAGAAAATGAAACCATTCCTCTTAACAAAGGTGCACATCTTCTTACATAGTTTGGTCTTCAGTCATTTTACAACTTTGGGATAAGCTTCTACTTTCATTAACTTAGGTGGTGGTGGCCTGAGTCAGATTTAAACCAAAGTCACATTTACACTGATCTGACCACGTAGAATTGACATGATCTGAGTGTAAATACCATTCACCAAGTTACGGAGAACTATGTATATTAACTGAAAATACCCTAGGTCTCCTAGTTTTTCTTCACAAAGCCTAGCCACTACATTGCTAGTGAGTGCAAATGTTTGACAACTTATTCTGACAGCACCAGCAATCCCAGAGAGGTCAGACCTGAGTGCAGAGAAGATGAGACAACTTTCTGAATTCGGAGTAGTGGGAGAGGTTTTCACCTGTGTGCATGTGACATTTCTTCCACTACATACTGTATGGTTGCTGTGTTTTTTCATGACACTGAATGGACATATTCTTAAAGTCTGAATTTAATCTACAGATGACCTGTTCAAAAGTACTGTTTTCCTGCCTATCCTGTGTACAAGCCTTAGCCTGACAAAGTTTGAAGTAGGAAAGACCTCCAGATAGCTATGTGCTGTTCTATATCACCCCAGAGGACTCTTGGTTATTCAGTTTATCTAACTTTCAGCTTACAACTACTAAATCAACTGTGTATCTGGGACCCAGAAGTGCATTTTTGATTACTCCATGCAAACTTACTACAGCAACTGATTGAAAAAGCTTTCATATACAGCAATGATGACAGATTAGAATGGACTAAACTGTCAGCTAACAAAGTATATGATCTAACATTGCATTTTTAAAAACTGACTACATTTTTTTTTATAAGCTATCTCAAAAGTATACCATGTTGTTATTTTCAGTTAACTTCAAACAAATAATGACCTATTTTACTAATTTTGCACTCCTTGAACTAGCAAACCGTCATGTCCCTTCTGACACACAGGACTTATACCGACTCACCAAATTTTTAGTTTATTCAGATTTTTCATTCTGTTTTATTGTATTTATTGGTATGTGGAAATAGTCTACAAGTGAAGTACACTCCTGTTTCTTGAAGATTTGTATTAAAGGTCATAATCTAACTTGGCATTTCTGTGGAGATAAATTCTTTCTGCATTTTCTATCATTTTTCATTTCAGAGGAATCATGATGTGCACATAATTTTCCTTTCTGTTCTATCTGCTCCTTGCTTGAATGATGTTCAAAATTGTTCTTCTGGAAGGCATGGATAATAGGTAACAAAACTAAATTTTTTGTCTCCTTACATGTGCCAACATCTGGAAAAATTATATTTTTATGGTGCTTCCATTTAATGCCTCTGTGAGCTCATTTTGTTACTATTATTCTCTCCTTGTCACATAGGTGAGCCCCATTTTATCATGATTTTCCTCATGCTCCAAAAGCCTTTAGAATTCATGTTCTGCCTAGTCCTGTAGACTTTTCCAAAGCTCTTTGGATCATTACTAAATATAACCACATGCTGCTTTTTGGCTGCATAAAAAAAGGTCCTCCAACACAAATCCCAAATCAAATCACTTCTTGAATCTTTTCCTTCCATGATTCCAAATAATCACAAATTATTCTGTCACAAATCCATAATCAGATTTTCCTCTCCACTCATATTTGAGAAATATGTTTATTTTCATGAGTTTCCCTAACTTGATTTTTTTTAAGCTTTTCTCAGATTTCTCTCTCTTGATTTCTTTTGGTTTTCATATATTTAGTTCTTCTCTTTCAGCTTAGCAACTCGATTTTACAAATATTGATGCAAATGCTTAATTCCTTCTTGCAAATTGTCTCATTGACTTCCCAGAAACCGCCAAAGTTAAATGTGTTCATGCTTGTAGGTTTTTCTGGATTAATGGTACCCTCATAAATATTTATTTTCAAAGAGAGTGAGTACAGGGTGATATTCTTTGCTGAAGAAAAATAATTCTAATTTACATTAATATTACCATCCCGGGAGATAAGGCATCAACAGCTTATATTGTTACAGAAAGCAAAATTGAGATTCTAAAGATTATTTTATAACTGTTGGACAATTAGGGAAAATCATAGAATTAAAATGCATTTGAAAAATACTGCAAAACTTGTCAAATGAATTGCTATGAAATGATGCAACCCATGGCAAACCTATATTTAAATTTGATCACTCATCAAAAAAAATTTAATAACATAAAATCACAAGAACAATGATATTCAAATCTTGTGCAACAAATAAAAATGAAAGATAGTGCTGTTCTGTTCTCTGTCATGTCTTACTGCTAGCCCAGACCAAAACCACTGCCAAACAACCACTGCCTCTTTAACTTCATCATACCTTCAGTTTTTCAGAGGTGAAAGAGTTGCACAGGGTGTAATTGGACCAAGTTCGGTTGCTCTCAGGATGGCGGAACCAGTTTCCAGTTTCATCACAATATTTTGAAGCCCTCTCTGATGAAAAATTGCATTAATAGTTATTTTAACATACGCATATTATGCATTAAAAATCTACTAAAAGGAATTACTTTATTTGGAAATAAAATGTCTGTGTAATGAAATCCAAATGGTTTTCAACCTGTGCAATTAATATACATCTTGATGGTTTGATGTTTTGGGTTTTTTTCTGAGATTTATCTGATGGTACACTTGTTTATCTGTCTCCTTTTGCCTTGAATGAGTATACATCTAAGCCTTCATTCAAATGCAATTATTTATGTGATAATAATCCCTTTAAAGAGGCTGTTGAAAGCTGTTTAGGGAAGCTAAAGTAATCTCAGGGTTGATGTGTGCTGTGTATGTGTCCTCCCAGCCATGCTCACATTCCTGCTGGGGAAACCTTGGATGCCGAGGCGTGGATGTCGCTTGTAATCATCTGACAAGTTTTGGACTGCTTCCTCTGTCTTTCCCTCAGTCATTAGCCAAATGGGAGTCACTGGAAGGTTTGCCCAAGTAACAAAGGCAGAATTAGATCATAAACTTCAATAATTTTATATTTTCTTAGATAGTGACACAGACATTTATGAAAAATGTGTTTTTCAAGTCTGGCTTTCAAAACAGCCAAAAAAGTCTACCTTGACTTTCCTTTGCCTACTCTACCTCTATAATTTCATTGGCTTTATATTATCAGTATTTCCACTTTTACAGAACCATTTACCATTTCATTTTTTGTGGTCAACATTGCCACTTATTTTTCTTCATCTGATGACTAATAGTTCTATTAATTTGGAAGATTTGTATTCCCTCTACACAACCTAAAGAAAGAAACTGATCGTATGGGCAAGATAGGGTTTGTGTAGACTGAGCTTACTCTTACTCTGACTAGAAACACACTTTGTATAGTGCCGTTGCAGAAAAAAAAGACAATTCTCCAGAACACAGCATATTTTTGAAATCGTTGTTGGCTTCAAATAGTTGTTTTGAGGAACTTATTAAAAATCAATACATGCATCAACAATACCAAGAGGAATAGTACATGTTATCTGAGCCTTCCATCGTTGCGGCTCGGAGATAATCTCAGACTGCCTGTGTAGCAATGTTCCCTTTGTACTCTTTGCCAGATACTATCAAAAGCTGGAAAAAGTTTTCAGTCATAGATAAAAGATTAATGGTTATGCTCCCACGGAACACAGTGTGCAAACATTCACCTACTATCCCATGCACTCTGCTTGTTAATATGCCACAGAGTATTTATGGCAATGTCATCCATCATCTCTGTACTTCAGTGCCTAGCTAGGCACTCTGACAGAGTTTAATGTGGCCTCTGCAACTTAGAGACAAACCTTTAGTCTCATACTTTTTCTTGAAGTCAGATAAACACAACTGATCCTAATCTGAAAGTGTCAATATCCCACAGATTTCTTGCTCAGGCGTCAGAATACAGAAATGGGTGATAAGCCCTCCTTTCTGTCCATCCCAATGACTCAAACACCTCAAACATCTCTTCTAAATCTATTTTTTTTACACAGAAACAAGGCTGTGAGCCTGCAACTCAGCCACTGTTCTACTCCAAGATATTATACAGTGGGCCAGTAGCAGGTGGGGGATTATGAACCTGGACGCTTGATGCTTTTTTATGCTAACCAGAAGAATATGGTAAAGTCTGAAGAAATACACATGTGCAAGGAAGGGTAAGACAAGACTAGCAAGATAAAATGGAAGTGTGGGCTTTAAGATTATTAAAATACTATGCAAAACACAATTTTTTAGGCTTTGTCTGTACCCTATCAGCTTGGATAGGGAACCACTATCCAAGCATCACATTACTCAAAGCAGAAGAACAGTGACATTGTGTGGGATTCATCTCACCTGATTTTAGCAATCTAAAAGTTATGTAATTCATAGGCAGTTGTGCAGTATCTCTGCAGCCCGCTTTGAAAGAAGACACTTCCAGGGCTATCTGGGAAAAAAGTTAGTTTTATGGGAGCAGTGAAGTGTCTCAAAAGATCAATCAGCTGCAGTAATTTTGTGTGTACCTTGTTTGCGCCACTAATAGTGCTTTTATGAATCCTGTTTTCATAAAAAACCCTCAGTAATTCATATGTAACAAATATCTTAATAACTCTGGAACCACATAATAGCTCTATCAATCAGGCTTTTTACAATTACACCAGCTCTATAGCTAGCACATTAAAACATCAGGTTTTTATTTATTGCTGAGTTATAAGCTGGAAGTAGAACAAAGTTATCCACTGCTGCTGTGCTTGCTCAGCACATACCAGACGTTGGATTCTTTGCCATTGTTTGGATAGACCTGTGCAGTGCTTAGTTTTGCAGATGAGGGAATAGTTGATGTAGCACATCTGATTTACTTACATACTCAGTAAACATTCTGGAAGAAATTTTTTCATAAACAAAGAAATCATCCCTTATAATGCAATGGAGAACCCAGAAAACTACAATTCCAGTGTCCTAATAAGTGACTAGTTACCACTGTCTTCAGAGTGTCTTAGTCAGCAGAACCAGAATCAGTATAAAAGAATCATATTGTGCACTGTGGGGATAAGAATTAATTTTTAAAATACAGCTGTCAAACTTGCTAAGAAGCAGGACAGAAAGACACAGAAGGGTAAAGAGAAAAGAAGCAGCTGGACAAAGAGTTGTTCAAATTTGTCTTATTTATAGTTATCTAAGTTATATCATTTCCATCTTCCTGGATTGTGAGAGGTAACAACATACTAATCATCATCTGAGTAATTGCTTATGGATATATATGGATCTGTTTCCAAATTACACTTCCAGAAACTCTGCTCCTGGAGCTTCATGAAGAGTTATGAGTAAAAATTTACAAAAGAGAACTAAAGACAGAAACACAAATGAGTGGAGAACTGAGGGGAGTTTTGCTAAATGCAGCTTTGTCTCACAAAGGCTACTGCTCTTAACCACTGCTCTTAGCCAAAGAATAAAGGGAGTGAAAGTGAAATAGAAGGTGCATCTGCCACAACAAAACTTGCACATCCAGCTCTATTGGTATGTGATTGCACCAAACTAATCCTAACTAAATGCACTGTATAGGGACAGAGGGGTGGGCACTATAACACTCCCAGCCACAAACCCAACAGCCCACAGATGGCACAGGGCAATGCTCAGCTCCTCCTGTTGCCCCTGGCAAACCTATCTTGCTTGAAGGCCTTTATATCCACATCATATTTTCCTTTTTTCCATTAGTAAGAACACTGGCAGCATGAATTACTACTTTCCCATGAAACTCAACTCCTACCAATTTCTGTGTGACCTGGAACCATTTCAGAGGGATTATACTGAAGATTAACCTGTCTAAAATATGAATATAAAATACAGTTCAAGAGAAACTGTGCATGTTGCCTGAATAGGGGCATATAAAACAGCCCTGCTCAGAGCTTCACAGCCAGGAGTGGATTAGACAATGAATTTCCTGCTGTCACTGGCATGAAAGCAGTAGGCCTTGTTACGTTTTCCAGACAAATGGATTTGTTTTTTATGCATTATCACATTGTGCATGATGTGCACTGCGAGAAGGAGATTGCTTCTTTCAGAACACAGATTCTATCCAGAAAGAACAGATCTAAATTCAGTGTAATAAGTGGAGTAGCTAACTGTGAAGTTGTCAGACACAAAATGAAGAGAGCACTGAGCGTGTTCCCCTTTGTTTTGCTTCTGCGTTCTTTTCTTCAGAATATGATTCCAAATCATTCACTTTCTAACATACTGCAGCGGTTTCCTCTTGGCATCAACGCTGAATATGGTTGGGGATCAAATATAGAGAATTGGTATATGGGACCCACAGATGAAAATGGGAGGAGGATTCCCTACTACTATGCTACCGGTAATGTTTCACTTTTCCAGTTAAAAATGACATAAGTATCAAAACAGAAAAATATATCTGAAAGACATAATTTTATTCCAGGACTAAAAGCTATACATGACCTCTAATGAAGTGACTTAGCCATCAATATGCTGATAGGCAGTGATTCTGCTGGTCTTGGTGCTGGCCAAAGCGGCACAGTATGAAATACTTGTTTCAGAAATCCATGGGGTTACTTGTATGCCTAAAATATATGCTGAGGTCATTGCATATCAGAAACTCAATGGGGAGGAAACCTGACAGTCACTACAGTTTTCATCATGTGAAAATGTTATTCTTCAGGATGAATTTTCTGTTTCTCAGTGGAAAATCCAACTGTATTTTCTTTAACAGGAATAAGTTACTAAAGGAAATAATGACTTGTGACACAAAATCTGACAGACTTCTCAGGACATCTCAATCTGAACTTTTGGCCACCTGTATGTGGCAGCCACTTCTATTAGCAGTTGATAGACTTGTAGACACCCCCCTGATTTCTGACTTCCCTGAGTCTCCCTCCTACTTTATCAAGTCCCCATGTGACAACCAGCCACCTGTAAAGCAAAGGCTGACTACCCACTGGTTTGATGCCATAGCTGTACCACATGCTGGGTTACTCAACAGCTATCCTAGGAAAGCAGCTTTGGCTCAACCAGGAGATGTTGGGCTGCTGCCAATCCAGGGAAACAGGGTTGACTGACCAGGATGCAGCCACTTGACTGACCAGGACACAGGCAAAGCGGGTGACAGAGGTGTCAACAAGGACAAAAGAGATGTACCAGAGGAAAATACTGGGGCCAGAAGACTACAGGTAAGGTTCTTTAAGAGGACAGCAGAGAGAACAGTGGGTACAGTAGGACATTAATTACTGAAGGAGTAATGGGTCCTCCTATGTGTCTGTACAGAGAAAAGGAATACTAAAAAATTCCTAAATCTCAACTTTCAAAGCATGCCAGAGTGAGTAACTGCAGTACACACACACTATGGGCCAAACTCCGTGACAGATATCTGCACATTAAGGAGTGATTTGCAATCAGTCGTATGAGCCACAGGCCTTGGCATTAATAAGCATTAGTAAGTGGAGTGAGATGCTTCTCCATGGATGGCTTCAAGTGTTACTTTGAAGAGTGGGGCAATTAGTTCAGAACAAGTCATTGGAGACAAACAGACAAGTGGAAAAGCTGAGAATAGGTGGCTTGGGAATGTGCATGAGAGTGGCTGTGCAATCATTCCCATCCATGAGGGATGGGACCCCTGAGTAGAGAGGAAAATTCTGTGACCAGCAGAACTGCCTAACACCCACCTTTACAGGTATAAGCTGACCTTTGCCTGGAGCATACATGTTAGTGACTGTTAGTGCCACAAGTGGTGGGTTTTTTTCATTTCTATAAAACCCATGGAAGCAGGGAAAGCAGAAGCCTTGTAGTAAATTTTTCTGTTCGCAAAAGGGTCTTTTGGAATGCTTTGTGAAAATAGCCTAATGGCTGAAGCACTTGTCCACAGAGAGGGAGACCTAAGTGAAAGTCAGTTGTCCAGCTGAGGGTCTCAGTTCCTTATTCTGTGTCCCCAAGGTGCTCCAATGATAAGTCATGAGCATGACCCTCCTGCAAGACTCCTCTTTGAAAACTATGACACTGTAAAGAAAAGAGGTCAAGACTTGTGTGTCAGAAAGCAAAAAAATGACACAAAAGAAAAGACCTTCTGATTTGGTGCTTGTTGCCTCTCTCAGGAATGTAAGCTGCTGTAAAGACTTTGTGAAATTGGTCTAAGGATATTCCCACAAGAAGTGGACAATCACCCTGCCACATGGGCTCACTTTCCAAGTACAGAAATCCTTAGCACACAGACTTCCTTCAATCCATCCTGTCCAAGGCCTAATTCCACTGGAAAGAGAGACATTCCTCCACCAAAGATGGAATGTAGTTTTGAATCCCCTCAGACTGGGTCTGACACTTGAAGCGTCTCACTTGCTGTGTGAATTCTCTAATCTTTGACAGTTTCATTTATGAAGAACAGAAATACAGATGAATCTGGCTGCTACTGCAAATGGGATTCAGCCAAATCCATATGGGGTTCAATTCAACCTGGAAACTACTCTGTTTCTAAATAGGCAATAAGCTTGAGAAGATCAACAGTTTTCAATAATGGTACTTGGTAATTAACTCACAGGATGCAGTGGTCTGTTTCCTTTATCTCCAGTTGGGTACATACATTTTGGCTTAAGGTTGTTGAAAATTTTTAGATTTACATACCCTCCTTCCCAAATCTTTGATTTGATAGGTTTTAACTGCCATTGGCGCATTGTGACTGTGTGGAATTTAGCACACTGTGACATCAAGCACTGCCTATAAGCAACATGTCCTGAGCATGGAACACACAACTCCCTTCAAACTGGAGTTAAATTTGTGTCTAATATCTCCTCGTATCTATTTTGCAATACTTCTATCCAGGAATTTTCCTTTCATTTTCCTTTTAAACGTTCTTGAATTACTTCTCTCAGTCAGCATGGCTGCTAGTATTTGTATGAAGAATTCAATTAACAACTGAAACTCAGAGACTGAAAGAATGTTGTTCTGTTTATCTTCTTCTATAAAATTATACTTTCCAATAAAAATTGAAGAAAGAACATGCTGACACATATTTCACACACATAAGCATTTTCTCTTCATTATAAAAACTTAGAATGAGGTGCTAAGAATATTTTGATATTATAACTCAGGAGCTGACATTTTCATAAACTAGGTTTCAAAAATCCATGGTTTATATTATATTTACATAAATACATATAAAATATTTTACAAATGAAAATATATAAATTAGGTAACCCAAAATCTTGATATGTTTTAATTTCAAACAAAATACCCTGAGATTTCACAATGCTGCAAAAATGCCACTGCAAACATGCATCCTGTCAATGGCATGAATGTCCTGAAGACATCCTTCAAAAGATAAAAAGATAAAAAGAAATACTGTACCGGTTGGATCAAAGTCTGGAAAATAATCCGGACAATTCTGAGCAGTGATCCTTCCAGCAGGTGTATCATCCCAGCACAACCAGCCATCCCATGTTCGGTTGCAGAAGAGACCTGGACATTTAAGAGGGTTTCAGGAGTTAATTCAACACACAGTCACTCCTGAACTGTTCTTTTCTAGCCTCTAGGGGAATATTGCTGCCTGCAGACAATCAGGTTATCTCTTGTTATAAACTCCTTTATTATTGTTACACTTAAAGTGGCATTATGGGGCTACAAGGAACTTGTTTTTGCTGACCTGATGTTAGTTGTGTTCATTTTACTGGAAAGTTATGTTTTACATCCTGTTAAACTGAGCTTTGAATGCAGGGTTCAATCCTACAAATTTCTCTTCTTGTTCCTCCTTCTGTCTCCAGCTGTAAGCACGTACACTTTGGTACCCAAAGACCTATTAGGCATCCACTTTTCATTTCACCTTCTGCTGTTCAGTAGGCCTGAAAACTGGACCTTTGAAATGTAAAGGTAAGGAAGTTTGTGGTGACATCCCACTAAAAGCAATATTTGCAGAGACAGGTCCCTGTCTGCCTGTTGCCTTATTCAGCACCAGAGATCAGATGATGTACCTACAGGTCCAGTGAAGCAGATGCAAGACTGATCTGCAACAGGCAGATTCTGCCTGATGATGTAGTCTAGGTAGGTGTGCTGTGATCCTGTCCTCATCGTGCCCCTTCTGGAAGGTAGTGCTGTCAAGGCTGTGTTGCTTACAAGGGATGTTTCCACCCCCACAAGCAGTGGCAATATGAGGGAGGCAGAATACAGCTCATTCTTGATCCCCAAAAGAGATGATGCGTACTATGGTCCTGAGAAACTATTCTGTAAGATTACTTGCTGTAATGTGTAACATGACTCATTGTGGATTTATACAAGAAATGCATTAAAAACCCCCTACATTTCTTAGTTATTTTCCATTTAAAATCAGTTTGTGGTGGGGGAAAAGGTATTTATCATCATGACCATCAGGTTAAAGGGAAATAGAATGAGAAGGTACATCTTAGCTTTTTTGCTTTGGTCCTGAGGAAGTGTCAGAATGGCTGCTATGACCATGTAGGTTGATTTTCAATGAATTATTTAGAATGTACCTCTGAAACTTGATGAAATACGCATAAGTAAATACTTCTGGTGCTTTAGAAACTATCCATAGATAAGCTTTCTTGCTGAAGCAAAAAGGCTGTAAAAGGTTATCTGAATTGTTCAAATTTGCACCAATAACTGTTTATAGGTCAAAATAGCTATGGATTAAAAACTGAAAGCATAAAAAATTCCAAATTAATATTTTCCAGATTATATGTTGTTCAGAAAAGATATTTAGCTAAGATTTTATGCACATATATGTTTCTGTAATGAAGTTAAATATGCTAATGCTAGTTTTCACTTAATTAACCAATCATCATACCAACAGCTGGTTATCTTTCCTTTGGGCACTGTAATGTTCTTCTGCAGCTTTGAAATGTATCTGAAAGCCTTTGAGGAGTATTTTTATGATAACTTATTAAAAGAAGAGTAAAAACTGTTTGCAACTTGAGCTTGTATTTGAAAGACAGTGTTGAAAGAGGATGGAGGGAATCTTTAAATCCTCTGCCTTGCCTGATAAAGAAAAAAGTCACACATGTCAATCTATACACTGCAGACTGTGTCTTTCAAGGTAATTAATAGGATATATCTATGTATACATATAGCCGTATATTTTTATATCTATCTATCTATCTATCTATCTATCTATCTATCTATCTATCTATCTATCTATCTATCTATCTATCTATCTCTCTACATACATATGGTGCTGTCCTGGAGAGCTGCTCAGGTGTTTCTATGTGCCTGAGCCCCTCATTTTATTATTTTTTCAGTTGAAAATGCAACTTCAGTAGTGCTGGCACCATTCCTTCATCAGTCATTTTCTTCATTCTGGGTTATAAACGAATTAAGTGCATGTTGCTATGAACATAACAGTCCCCAATGGCATCACTTAAAATCTAGCTGCCAGTTGAAGGAATGCAGGAACTGCCACTGCTGTCCTCCCAGGACAATAATGCCCTTGAGAACACTATCAGGAATTCATGTCATGATATAAATTCCCAGCTCATGCTGGAAAAACAGCCTTTGCAACTAATCACACAAGCAAGGTGCAAAAGTAAGGGGAATCCAGTGGAACCATCAATGGATGCAAAAATTGAGTATTTATAAAGCTGGAGACTAAAAGAGTAATCTGAGAAGAAGGCAGCAAGTTATTTCCCCCACAAGTCCAGCAACTAAAAAGCTTGTTTATGTCTGAAACATGATGTTTTCTATTCCACAACCCTGTATAACTACTTGTGGGTTTTCCCCATCATGGGCCTGAACTAAAACATATTTTAAGCAAAGTCAGTCTCAGTATATATTCCCAAACATTTCTGCATCTGAGTATCTCAACATCTAACTATTGTTTGAGTTTTACAGAGCTCAGGAGAACTTTTGTGATAAAGAGCTATAGAAATATCTTTGTTCTTGTATTACACAAAGTCCCACTTTATCTCCAACCCATCCATTAGGTTGGGTGTTTTTATTAGCGGGTTTTTTTCATATGTTTTCTCTTTATGTCCTCAACATCTCTGTTCTTTACTTGCAGAGGTCTTCACAACTCCTCTGTTATTTTTTCTCTAGCCTCCTATCTTCTATATCTTCTATGAGAAAAAGTGACCAGAACACTGAGTCCCAACCAGAAATCCTGCTTTATACTGAGTAACTCTAGCACCACTATTTTTTGTCATTTCTCTTTTTATCAACCTTCACATATGCCTCATATTCAGTAAAGATGAGTGCTAAGTGCCTTATAAACCTATTTTCCAGGAATACCTGGAACTTCTGTGTTGATACAGAGCATGACAACCAGCAGACAATACACAAATGAAAAAAAATCGAAACGGAGAGTAAAGCAAACAGAACAACATTTATATTTAAGAGATTCCCCATTCACAATCAGGTCTTTGTGCAAGCTTGCTGAGAGGTTCTGGAGAATGCCATTCCCTAAGCAAGAACAACTGACATTTAAGCAGCAAAGCACTGGGCAAGAAACTTAGGTGATGCAGGAAGGAAGCACTATTCATTCCCTGGGCTCCTTCCAGGCTTTCTTATTACTTTGCACTTAGGAAGATGCTAAAGTAAGTGTGAATTTGATTACTGCTTGTGGGAAGGAAACTGCACCCTGAGGAAGAGTATGGGTTAGTATACAGAAGAAAATGTTTCTTCATAGTTCTGTAACCAAGCATTGCAAAATACAAACAGATTTTCTTAAATCCTTTTTACCTTTTTTCTTGTACGGAGGAGCTCTGTTCATCCTCTCATAGCATTTGAACTGTGAATCTATTATCTTCTGTCGTATGACTGAATTTTCAGTTACTACGGGTTCTAATGTAGGATCAGTATAATTTACAGTAGAAGAAAGACTTGGAACAATTCTCTGTACAGAAAGGAAAAACTGTTAGTACATCTGAATAAAACAGGAGGATGAAATTAAAAAAAAAAAAGTGAGGACCAGAAATCCATTATGCATTCTTCAAAGGCCTTTTATTTGCACTTGTTTAGTATTATGATGGGCCTTAGCTCCTAGTTAAGTACCTAAATTTGAGTGCCTACATTTGAGTCTGAATAACAGGGTCCTCTTCAATCTAGTGGCATCTGCTGACTTCTCGCATTCTGAACTGCCTGCAGTTTAAAGGGAAGGAACGCTGCCTCTGGAAGGCAAAGTCAGTTATGTTTTTTTGCCACCCATCCATCCCTTACTGTTGTACAGCTCAGGTCTGTGAGCAGAAATGAGAGTGTGGAGTTTTAGTTAAGTCTGTCCTGCTTCAATCCTGTATTAGGAAACTTCCCTGCATGAAGGTGATAGGCAATCATTAGTTCCTCTGCTTCCCCAAGCAAAAGCAACATTGCTGCAGCACTTTCCTTGCAAGACCCTCTCTCTTCATCTATACTAAACAGTACTAAAGCCATCACAAACATATACAGACTCATTTACAGGCTGCTTCAAAATCTAGGACTCTCATAAACACACAAACTTGACTGTTTTAGCAGCAAATGCTAGTACACAGATCTTTAAGCAAGCATTTGTAGTTGCTCAAATTGAAAACATGACAGGTTTGAAAATTCAAGTATCAGCTTATTTCTTACTCTTTTGTTCCCCCTCCCTTTTTTTTTTTTTTTATTGCACATCACAGGCAATTGTATTGCACGAATACATTATATTTTCCCCCCACTTGCACACTAAACAACCTTGGTAAAATACACAGTGAAACCCCAGTGTTTGGATTGGTTGAAAACAAAAAGCCATTACTTTTACCCTGATATTTCTGTGACAAACCATGTCAGTATATATACTCGTATATCTAATCAATTATCTTTTCTTAATTTAATCTCTTTTGACCCAAACATTTTAATTTTCAACTGTATACAGCTGCTAGCTGGAGGATCTGGAGGCAGTTAATCTTGTTGCACTTTAACAACAAGGTTCTTCAAATAAAATAGGAGGAGTAAAAAGGAAGATATTTTCTGGTAGAAATAATTTTATAGAAATTTTCTGTGTACGTATGCCCACACACACAACGATATGCCTGGACAATAAAGCCATTTGGAACATTTCATCTGGCCATCCAAGTGAAAAATTAAGTCTCCAGAAAACCAGAACCGGAAATACAGAAGTGAATCCAAACATCACAGACCCCTTACTTATAAAAAGATTAAAGTGAGTAGCTGGAGTCCATGAGAATCATTTAAAAACCAGCCAAGCAATGTCCTAAATCCAGCATGCAGTGTAGGAAAGTGCAGATGAGGCTCTTCAGACACCTTCATTTTTATCTTAACTCATCATGTCCATGTGCTGTGACAGGCTCTGGTGCTTTTCTGAAGTGATTAATAGATACCCCATGCTAATTTCCCCCATTCTTATTTTGAACACTACCTCAGTTTCAATCTGTTTCTATTAAAGAAAGGAATATCAGTATCATCAACGAAAGGTAGGGGGACTTCTGTGGCATTGCCTCTGTTCTTGACAATTTCTCTGTTACTCTAGGCAGTTTGGGAACACATCTGTATGTGGGGTGATAATTTTGGGGAGTAAGATACAATTCAGACACCAAACACAGCTTACTCTTAAAGTCCATTTAAGAGACTTGTTGTGTACAATTCCTGATGAAGTCAGCTCTTGTTGGGTACAGGTTAATGCAAATATTTTGATAGTTGAAGGCAAAGAGTGCCTGTGGTGGTGGAGAGACTAAATGTCTTGGATTGTGCACAGAATTACTTAGAAGTGCTCACCCATGTAACCAGGAGGCCCATTCTACTGCCTCTGTGCAAGGCAATTATAGCCCAGCTGAAATTGCCAGCAAAATCTCTACTGCCTATATTTAGGGCAGGAATTCACTCAGAAAGATTAAAAATATGGATGACACTGTGTCACTAAAGCTCAATGGGACTTACTTCATCAGTGAAAATCACTTAATGGCCTACAGAAAAACTAAAGTTTGGATAAAAATTTGAATAATAATATTAGATTTATGGATGTCTCTTAAATTTTTTTTTTTTTTTTAATCATGCACAAGGACACAGATTTTCAAAGTTAATTGCCCAAAAATAAGGGGTCATACATATGTATGTCACTGGTATTGTTCATCTGCAATATGCCCTTTAAATGTGCTCTTCCCTTTGATTGCTACTCCTCATTTCTGTTTGCTTGGATTTGAAAAGCTGACCTTGGAAGCTTGAACACAATTTTTTTCTACCATAAGATCAGGTTTCCATTTCAGTAGATTAATGAAATATTAATTTGGTGCTTTGCTGGAGGATGAGAAGCCACATCCCTGTTTGAAATGCTGTTTTTTCTACCATGTGTAAGCGACACCACTCCAGGACCCAGAGCCTAAAGCCTGACCTCTCATAGTCAGTTCAGTGTGCTGATGATCCAGCCTTATATTCCTTGCTTTAGTTTGCCATGTGAGACATTATTTGTTTTAGTCTTCCTGTACTCCTTATCATAGGGGTCAAAAAAGGGCAAATGGGGCAGAAAGACATTTCTGGGTCATTATTCTCTTATCAGAAGTAGCAGGAATTTGGGCATGGCTACATGGGAGTGAAAGCTCAGTGTGACCCATGTTATTGGGAGAGGCTGGGAATGTACCATGAATCGACGTGTCTATGTTTGTATGTGCTCTCAGGGAGTTAATGATTGGAATCACCTCTGCTACTATGTTTTAATTATTATATCTATGCATTTTAGAAATTAAGATTTACAACATGTTTTCACCACAAAAAAACCAAGAGTAAGTAATTTTAACCTGGTAACTACCTACAACATTAAACAAATTTTGAATGCTCGGAGTTCATTACTGCATATTAAAAAGCTTTCCCATCCATCCATCCATCCATCCATCCATCCATCCATCCATCCATCCATCCATCATCCGTTATTTTAGGTGGAAATATAGATGATGTTGATACAGCAAAGGAATGCCTCATTCATTTATAAATATTCTTTATTACAGAGAAATAAATAATTCACAAATAATTCACAACTTAATAACTAACTCATTGTCTCAAAATGATTGATAATGATTTCTTCAGAAGAAAATTGTTTAAGTGATGTCCCATGCAGCAGTTTAGCAGCCGTACATATGATGTCACTCCTAAAAGTCCAAGTAAATGACGTCATACATACGACCACCAAGCCACCACGTGACAAATGACTGTTATAAGAAAACAAATCATCAATACAAGGAGAAAAAACAAGATTCTGATAATGCTGAACTTCACTTTATACCTAGAATTAATAAAGGAATCTAGAGAAAGCAACTTGGCTTCATTAATAAATTATACAGGAATGAACAAATAGTGTCCTGGTTTCTGTAAGACAGACAACTGCTATTAACCTGTGCAAGACTGTGCCCATTTCTGCAAGAGAGAATCCAGATAAAGCAAGCATAAAATTCCTTCACTTTTTCCCCACAAAATATTGGATATGATGAACAAGCATCCCCAAATATTTTTCTTCTGCCATCAAGGAGCTTGCAGGACACTAACTGCAACAATGTATGACATTTAGGAAAAGAAGATATTTGTAGTTTTCTTTGCTTTTGCTTTTTTTCCTCCTTCCACTAAATAAAGTAATTTAGCAACATTTATTGTTGAGCTCAGTCAAAATATAATTCAAATTCTGCATGCTCTAACTCGATATTGATTTCAATAGCTCAAACGTACAGTTCTTTTAAAACTGCTCTGTAGTCACCACTTTGCGGATCACTAAGCTCCTGTTCTTCAATACATCACATCTTTGAGAGAGAGCTCAGCATGATTTAGACTGGTTGCAGAGCCTCTCTCATACTTTATGTTTGAACTACTCTTCACAGCTGCTAATGTTAGGACAGAGAAGAAAACAACTGTGATGCCTTAGGAAGGTCATCAGTGTATGGTACTCAGTAAATATAATCATTTCTATCCATTACAAAATGTGCTAGGAAACAGCAGACAATTTCTTTGGGGAAATACCACAACACGTCTTGTTTTACTTAACCACTGAATGTTAAAATTTTCCCCCTACTCTACTACATTGGAGCAGGATGGTAATTATCTCAGTGAGACCCCATATGTCTAACAGGGCAGATTTCAGCAGCTGTTTAAACACGCACGAGATTATCAGTCACAGCAGATGAAGACAAGGCAGTTGTAATGAAAAGCAACTCACAAATCTTACAGTTCTTTGCCATTGCTGCAGGATTTGCTCACATGAGCAAGCTTTACTTGCAGTTTAGCCCGATGCAAACTGTGGGCTTAAAGAAGCTGCAGAATACTTCATGGATTTTTGCTGGCAGCCCTGATTATCATCTTGCAAGAGGCCTCTTTAGGGCAATCAGCTGTGCAGCAGCAGCCTTATTTTTTAAATAAGCAAAGACATAATCAAAATTTCCTGATCACCCCTGAAACTGGTTGAATAGAACAGAATACAGCATTTCTTTCTCAGGAAACTGAGCAGCTTGAGTCTCAAATTCTCACACTAATTCTCACCACCTTAAAATATCAGCAGATTGCTTTCCAGAGTTTTCTTGAGTGAGAACAGCTTCAGAACTTGCGAGTGGAGCAAGTGTACTCACAGCTTGAAGAAAACCATGATTACACAGGGAAATACTAGCTCACAACAACAGCTTCCAAAGGCATGGTCTCAGGCAATGAGATCTAGGGGGATCTCACCATTTAAGGTGGGGGAAGCCCCTGGGCTCCCAGTGGTGCCAGACAGCAAGCAAGTTCTGACAAAGCAAGATGAAGGAAGCTGTGACAGATCTTCAGCAGCTCTTCTGGCTCACCGGAGGGTAGGACCTGCTCTGGACCAGATTCTGGAAGAGTTGCTATCTAAGCAGGAAAAGGCTGTTCTTACAGTACTTGCACAGGCAAGGGTCCTAGAGACTCACAGTGAGAGCTGAAGAGTTGGGCAGGTGGCAGGAGCCCAGGGGAGCACATGGCCCCACCACCACACAGGAGGATCAAATGGGTGCACCATGAGCAGCTCTCTCTTTTTGGTGGCAAGTGCTTCACTAATGAGTTCTGGAGATTTGAACTTACCATACCACAACTGTATTCCAAAAAACATCAATTTGTGCAGTTACTGAAAATTACATTTAGGTTTTCATATAATTAATTTTCAATGTTTTGTGAATGGGAATATTGTCAAGCCTTTCAGGAGACGGCAAGAAGCAGCAGACTCTGTATAGCTTTGTGACTGAGGTTTGGTAATAATTTGACAAATTTGGACCTAATGAACTTGCAGAATTTGTTTTTTACTCAAAATGAATTTATTTTAAAATACAATCTTGGTCTAATAGACCTAATTGAAAATAGCGTGGCCTTTAGCTGCAGCATCCACTTAGTCCTTACATCCACTTTGTGGATGGCCCCGGACACAAAATCAGAATATGTGAGAAAATTTTCTCCATCAATCCTCATTTCCAGAGTAGGAACAAACTATTATTTGTAGGCACTAGATGACAGTTCTTACTTGACAAAATAATGAAGAGAATACAAATCTATTCCCCCAGTGTTGTGCAAAATTGATTGGTCACAATGGAATGGGACCCAAATCTGCTTCCTCTTCCTCGTTCTCTGCAGTTTGATGCTGCTGGGCACACTGTGCTGATGCTGCATCTTTCTTGTGAAGAGAAATGAGCATTGAGAAGATCGACTAATTGCTCCAGCACAGAAGGGCTCATGTACTCGAGGAAATAAATCTCAGTCAAATTCTGTGGCTCTCAGTAATTGCCAAAAACTAAAGAGCATCAGGCATAAAGTGAACCAAGACATAATGAACAGGTGAATTTTCTAATGATATTCCCTTTGAAGGGTAGCGAACTATCTGGTGATGCATTATCCTGTATCCAAAAGCAACGGAATCCATCATAGAGGAAGACAATAAGGAGTTAGTATTTTCTAAATTAGATTTTGGAACAACTGTTGCTTCAGTATTTACTTGGCAAAGGCGAGTCATTATAGACCTGTACATAGAAGTGCTATTTATTCTATACAAAAAATGACATACATAGAAGAGATGGTTTGTATCAGAAGGTACCAAAACCTCATGGTGACAAGTCTAAAGGAGATGGTGGGGAGGGGGTGTCTGTGCATATCAAGTAACTAAGGTCTAATGGCAAAACATTCAAGGAGAGATACGAGAAGAATCCAAGGAAGTTTTCTGCAAAGCACTAACACTGTATGTAGGACACAAAGTGCTCCAACACTGAAAGTGTGTTAGAGAATCACAGCTACCCTCAGAAAGGAGATTTCAGGTCAAAGTATGCCCTGATCAATAGTCGTGATCACTGCAGGGGGACTGGCACCTACAGGAGGATTAAATGAAACAGAGAGATGGAGCCCAGAGGAGAAACACAAGGACCCCAACAGGTTTGCAATAGCTTGCAGTGACCAACTGGGAGTGCGGGACAGAGATGAGAGGATGACCGAAAACCATCAAAGCCGTCAAAGAAAAGAAATCTGGAGGATGGTTTGTGGGGTGAGCAGAGAACAGGGATGGAATTTCAATCCTGCATCACAAATTACTTTAATTATTATATCTTCCTCAGCCTCAGGCAGAGGCTGACATGTTTCACGGGTCTTGGAACCAAGGAGTGAATAGAAGAACCAACAAAGTGGCAACAGTCTCTTTGGAAGAGAAAGACACCCTTTATTCACTATAGACTAAAAATAAAATATAAAAAATGAATGTTTCCTATCAACTACAGGTGGGGAAACCTCTGGGAAAATGACTGGTGCCAAATACTTTTCATATTTGCTCTAACAGCAGTGTTCTGGTAAGTGTCATCAAGGAAACAGAGCTTGTTTGTGGTCTAGTTCTATGAACGTGACTTCTCCCCTATCAAAAAATAAATTAATCTAAGAGTCATCGAAGTAGGCCATAGCATGCCCACTGCAGTGGACAAAGAAGGCACAAAGACATTGGAAGAGTGAAAATGAAGAAAATTTGTGCTTAAGTTATCCACGAAAGTCAGAAGTTGAAGAGCCCTCTGGTGCAAAGATATCTAAAAGGAAGGGGATACAGAGCTCACTGAGAAATCCTAGCCCAGGACTACTGCACACATGTGCACAGAACTAATGTTGCATACATGCTACATGGGTGAGAGATTTAAAAGATTTGGGGACAACAGGGCAAGGATTGGCTCAGTTCTTCTGGGTTGACCTACAAATCCATGCTGTAGGTTAAAGCACCTCAGATGCTCAGAAATGCTGTTGACAATTTTAATGATCAGAATATTTACAGAAGAAAAATAAACTGGAACTTTTTCTTTATTCAGCGTTGGCTTGTTAAAGGAAGAATTGCTGTTTTATGTCAAGGCCTCTGTCAAGCTGTGCAGATCAGCTGGAATTCAAACCCAGAAGGAAGCTGGTCTCTCTCAGGCTGCTTGTTACAGACATCTCTGACCATGGGTGATTTCCTAGCCAATGCATTGTCACATGCAGCCTTGCAGGATATGTAGAACAGCCTCAAACAGTCACAAATATCAGAACACTCATCATATTATGTGATTCTGTGAGGTACACAACCCAATAAACAATCTAGAGATTGCAGTTGCTAATGTTCCCCAACATGTCTCCTAGACCTGTCTCTACAACATGGAAATTGTAGGTTGTCTCACACAACAACATTAAGGAAGTTTTCAAACACTAAAGTATCCATGTCACTGCTATGTTCTAGCCTGTAAAACACAGAAATGAAAACTCACATGCATAACCTTCTTCCGATTTGCAGTCCTGTCTCACCAGGAAACAATGATTTCAAGTCCAAACTTTTATGAGATAACTTATTTAGAAACTTTATTAAGCTTATCTTGAAATTTATCAGGAAGGTAACTCATTCTTTCACCTGTGCAGTATAACAAATACAACTCAGTACTCATTTTTCCAAACATCACTACAAGTTTGAATTTGGCAGCTGTTATGAGCACTTCTGTTTTCTCATACTTACAATTAGGAGGATGATCAGTAAGAAGCAACTCTGGGTTGTTTTTCTCATTGTGGAGTCTTCCTGGAGCGACACGTTGTAGCTGACCCTTCTGGGAATTAAACAACAAAAACAAAAGCAGTATTGGACTTTAGCTGTTCTGATAAATTCCTTGTCTTTGCACAGGAACATCTTTTTAGACTTCGAGTGGACCTTCTGTGTGTGTGTGTATGTGCACCCCCAGCCTTATGTGTGCTCCTGTTTTATCTAAGTGGAGTTTGGTACACTTTTAATTTAGTCTCCTCTGTGGATCTCTGGTGGTGAGGACAGATGATGTGGGGTACAGACCCATGTTACTCTGCCACCAGCAGCAGCTCTGGGTTAAGCTAGCATCTTTGCCAGATGAGGCTACCTTGGTTGTCCTGATTCAGGTGCTTCTAACCTACACATATGGCTGCAGACCTAGGAAGAATCTGGATATTTTAAACATGACCAACAAACCCCAGAAAGGTCCAGTTTGCTGATATGTGGAATGGTAGCTTGAAAGGTATATTTTATGGGACTAGACAAAGAGAGAGGTTGTGTAACCTCTAGCTAGGTGAAGCAGGTGGGGCAGGAAAAGAGAAACTAGGAACAACACCGTGGGATTACTGCTCCCTAATGTAGCTGGTTTGGCTGGGCTCCATAGAGACACACAGCAGTGTAACCCTCAGGCTGTTGAAAATTACTGCTTCAGCACAGAGTATTGGAGAAGTGGAGCACAGACGCAATGCCACAGGCTTGAAGGGAACTGGATTGGCAGCTTTGTGCTTTTCTATCTTCTTCCTAAATCAACACCCACCTGGCCTTCCTGGGAAAATTATCCAGGGGCCACCAGGTATAATCATATTGCTTCACTGTTGTAAGAGTTCAGGCAAGCAAAGCCTTTTGCATTATTTTATCACAGTTTTTATTAAAACACCTCATGACTTCTGATATCCCACAGGCCACTAGTGGTGCATGGGCTGAACAACAAACAACACGTGGCTGAGATCACCTTCAGTTGCAGTAACACAGTTGGCACTCACACATCTTCTTTTTTTCAGACAGCTGAAAAACTAGGAGTAAGGTGTTTTTTACCTGGGTAAACAATCCTGTGAGCACCCTACACATCTGAAACCCAAAAATTTAATGGGAAAAAGCCACACTGACTTGGATGCTTAGTCTACTTGACATATAGTGGACAACACAATCACATGCGTAGCATTTTTCTCAACAACAGCTTTTCTTATCTTTAAATGATTTGGAAGGTTACCCATTTTCAGAGGGGAAAGGAAATATTGTCCTCATCTAATGCAGAAATCTGTAATATCAAAATGTAATAAAGGTGTGGCACTTCCACTTTGACATAACACATGTGATCCAATAGGATTGTTGCAGTCATATGTCACTGAGAGTACATAAACCACAGAGTTATGGAAAAGAGGGTTCAGAGGTTTTGCCTCTAATAAGAAGCAGCTTTATTACTGTCTGAATCTTGCCAGAACTATTCTGGTGCCAGTGGTAATGTGACATGTAAATGACACAGAAATAATATGCAATTATGCTGTCGGCCACAAACTTGCATTTGATCATCAATGGTAGACAACTCAATTGAAGCAAAAAATTGGACAGCTAGATCAGAGAGCGAAATGCCTGCAATTGTCTACGTATTCTCCAGGCTATTCACTGCAGTGTGTATTGGTTCAAACTGCCAAAAAAGATTAATGAAGAGCATATAAACAATGGCTCTTGGTCAGCTGTGCAGTGAGCACATGTACAATCATTAATATAGTGTTGATTCAGTTACTCACTGTACTGCAAAGTGGTCTGGAATGTGGTGTAAAGCCAGTCTGGTGAGTGCCTCTATTCTTCTTGCTAGCCTCAACTCTGCTGCATCTATAGGGATTTGGATAAAGTAGACAAAAGAAGGACTTTGCCTTACAAACTATCAACAGCTTTAAAATACAAAATGCTTTCCACAAATGGCACAGATTTTGGCACAATATTGCAACCTAAAAAGCATAAACAAAATCAGTATCAATTGAAGGTGTCTGTGATACATCTGCTTCTCCAGTACTTTGTGCGAGCAGTGCTTGCAGAATTATGTTGGGTTACAGCTGTAGATACATGCAAATCTTATCCTCACGGGGTTTTGTGAACATTTGTTATTATGTACCAAAAGAGCTATTTAAAATGCTTCTTGCTCCTGTCTTTCCCAATTAAAATAAAAAGCCACTTGTAGAGTATTTAACAAATTATTTTCCCCTCTGTTAACTGTGATGACTGTGCCATATGATACTACACAGGAGTAAATGAGTAAGAATCATTTCACCAGTTCAAATCAAATATATATATATATATATATATATATATATATATATAAAACTTACATAGTCTTGTTATTAGTCTTTCTTCTTCTAACTAGCTCTAACCACAGGAATGGCTGACATGCCAGAAAAAATCCAGCACCTTTTTTAATTTCTCTTTCACAGGAGTCTTTTCCAATGACGACAATTTCAACAATTGTTGAACAACAGTATTTTATCAATCAAAGTATAAAGCCCCTGACTAAGAAGTGTCTTTTCTCTACTTCTGCCATAAGACTGGCCCATAACACTACAACACACTTGGGTTAGCCTCGGTACTGGATCAAGGATGATGATCTCATTGAAACTGGAAGATATACACAGATGCAAAGTGTTGGTCAATGGGCAGGGCAGAAACAAGAGGGGGGCAAAAAGACTCACACAAAGGAGAACCCCAAGAGATGGACCCTGTTAGCTTCAGGATGGAGGAACAGACTATCATCTCCACAGCTCCTTCCCCATCTCCAGCCATGCAGGTTCAGGTGTGACATGACATGCAAACTGCGATGTGCAAAGCAGTACACTCCATGGACCATGTTTTGGGGTCTTTTGTGCTAAGTCCAGCAATGTCCTTCCTCCATGTTAGGATAACAGTGTGCTTTGTGCATTTCGATTTTATAATATCCATATATAGGGATTAATGATGAGCACATTGCTAAAGCCCAGTATTTTTCTGTGATTGTATTAATTCTTCACCCTCTGTTGCTCACAATAGTTACATACGACATCCCTGTCTGTTACTGAAACTGGAACATTGTTCTTTCTTTCTTCGCAATTGTAGCATACCTCATTATGTGCTATGGTATTCCTCCTGCTTCAGCTATTATAGTAATACCATTGACACTTTGGGATTAGTCCTGAAGCTTATTTGAGCATGAACATAACATCCTACTTAGTAATGACATCTCTTTTGTCTCTGTCCAGATCTCTACAGGTGTAGTACTATGCTGAACAGGGCTTCAATTATAATTACCACTGGGTTGCCCAGAGGGTGGGACAGCCCTCCCTGCACAGCCATTTGGACAAGGCCAACCAGGGGAGTCAAATTTAGTCAAAAAGGAGAATGTAAGGGGGAAGATTCAAATGAGGGCAGTAGAGCAACATATATCTTCCAAGTTCTGAAGGAACGATACAAAAGAAAGTCCTTTTTGGAGAAAGAACTGGAAAAAACTTCTTCTTTAATTATTCTGCTCTGATAAATTTGCAATGCCATCTTTCACAATAGTGCTGACATACCTTTGGAAGAAGAAATGATTTTAAAAATGGGGTTTGAAACGAGAATCTGAAGAGTTAAGTACTGAAGTGTCATGTAAAAATCTCTTTCTCATTGTGCGTATTACACTCAGACACTTTGAAACTTCACTTGTGACCTCCTCATTCAGCTGCAAATTCCTTAGAGGGTTTTCTTTCCACCCCATGCAGCTTTCTCAGAGTGAACAGCTGCGTACTCACCACCAACCCCAAGGTCTCTGTGCTACCTTCCTAGGTAAGGGTTGCAGATCCTCCTGGGAGATGCCTTGCCAGTCAGTACGAGGGCACCAACCTGCTCTGCCTGCATTGACACTGGACTGGGAAACACAGGGCAGACACCTCTGAGCAAGACACAAGCAAGCCAGCAGATCTTGCAGCTGAGCATTTAAGGTATTTGGATCCAAGGAGGAGGTTGCAGGTCTGTTTGTGTAGCCAAATGCACAGACAGTTTTGGGGAAAGTACTAAAACTGGTCCTTCACTCCCAGTGGGACATTTTACCCTGGGTTCCTAATTTAGGCTACTGCTTTGGACAAGGAATGAGTTGTACATCACACTTCCAAGTCCTGTGCAGACCAGCACTGTAGTTGGAGCCCCATCAGCCAGATGAAATGCCATGAGTATAATCCCCACATGAGAAGGGAATAGAGTCAGCCCCTCCAATTTCCTTAGCATTTTCTTTAGCCGTTAACCTGCAATGGTCTTCAAATGTTTTTAACTGGCACCAGGATCTTCTGGCATTTCCAGCGGAAATAGTGAACTCTGCTCGAAAACTGGTGACCATCAGTCCCAGGCAGAGACATGGACCTGGACCTCCCTACAGCCTTTAGTCAAGCATTCAGGAAAATAAGACAAGTCAGAAGACATATCTATGTCTCCTACTCCTGTACTTCCTATGGCTCACCTTTATAAAGTTCCTTGACATTTTGTCAAAACTTCCTGAAGTTTTCATATGGAAATCTCCTGAGAAATATAAATTCCAAATTCTCAATTTCAAGTGTCAGGCCCCTAAAGGCACTACTACATTAAAATTGCAGGCTTCTAGGACATTTGCTGCTTATCTCATTCCTTTCAGCAGTCTTGGACAGCCAAACACAAAGTCGTGGAATGACTACTCAGTTCTTATTCAAACAAATCACCATTAATTTCCATTAGCCTGCCTGCTGCAGAAGGTGAACTGTGTCTTGTAGAGCTGAGTCTTTGCTGTGTTAACAAACTGAAACTATCAGCCATGGCAAATAGGTAATTTCAGAGTTACACGGACCAAATGACCAAATAAATCTACTTTATTGATTCATTTGGATTACGTGGGAGCTGCAACGCTTGATACTTCATTTTTCCATTTAAAACCAGTCAACAAGAAGGGGCTATTTTACCTTAGGTTTCCCTTTAACCAAATCCTTTCCAATAAACTGAACAAAATAGAAAGAAAATAGCTACAAACTTGTCTGTGTATATTTTTGAGCTAATCATAAA